AAAGTTAACTGACACTGAACTATTTTCAACTTCCCAAGGAAAGCCCGATGGATTGCACAGATACCACAAAGCGACTTATACATCAAAGGGATCGATCACCGCAGTAAGATTTAAAAAAAATCTTCTTATATTTTTAATAAAGATAGCTGCTCTGCACACACACACACACACACACACCCTCCCTCTCTCTGGCTTTTTCACACAAACTAATCTATAACATATCCCTCTGATCGCGCACGTGCCGGCGCGTCAGTACGCATGGATGCACAGGATCTGTCACAAACGAAAACAAAAACATGCTGCTAGATAACAACGCTCAAACTTTTTTTCTTATTTTCCTGGGAATTCAACTTACTTTCCAAATTTTGTTTTCTTGAAGTCCATCTCGTGCGTAGGCTATGCGGGCCAGCGCGTCTGCGCGCCTGCGTTCTCTTGTTTTTTATCGCAAACAGTAAAACCAGCCAGCGCAGTCTTCTCCTACGGATTCCCCATTCCGGATGTCCCACCACCGCGCGTCCAGAGATAAAAACATAAGTCCAGGAGAGCCTGCGACTCGCAGAGCGGGTACCAGGACAACCGGCCCGCGCTTGCTCCGGGGTTTAAACGACTGGGCACGAAAGCGACGATCGGCGCGCAGCAAGAGGAGTTGGCGGTGAGGGGACCTTGCCGAGCTTCGTTCCGACTCTCTCAGATGTGGTCGCAGGATGTTCCGCTGGACTGGGCTCGTAACCCCTCCCCTGCCCTCTTCTCCCCTCCCCTTTCGCTCTCCTGGTTGCTGCTAACTTCACCAACGAAAGGCAAACCCCTCACCACAAAGCACCGACACCCTCTGCTGTGACTTGCAAGTGTGACATGTGAACAGGTCGCTTCTGAAACACAAACCCGGACTGAAACAAGACAGGAAGGGAGGCACAAAGGTGATAACAAAACCTGACCAAATGAGTCAACTGAACTCAAGAGACTGGAGCGAGCGCTGTTGTAACGAAAATGATGCCAAACACATCCTGGACAGACATTTACCTCTGTTACCTAGTTTGTTTGTTATTTATCTCCTTTACTGTTTCCATTGCTCTAATTTCTTTCCACTGTGCTTTAAAGTAGCTGTTTGGGGGTTTGAGTGACTTCTTAATAACTTCAAATACTTCAGGAGATTCATATAATAAAACTGTGACCAGCTGAGATAACACAACTTGTAGTTTTAAAGTATTCAATGGGATACTTTCAACATTCTTCTCGGGAAAGTAGTTTTACATCACTCTGTTGTGCTATTGTGTTGTTCCAGGGAATCCCCTTCCTCTGACGTTTCATTTAGATAAAGTCCAGGAACAGGGAAGGACAGATATGCAGAAATTTCGCAAAAGATTGGAAAAACAAAATAGTAAGAAAGAAAGAAATTTCTCTATTGGCTATTCGCTTATGTTCCAAATAAGAAGTGACCTCAAGGTTTGGAGCCACTGGAATTATTTTATTTATTAGATTTTTGATATTTACACCACTGGCCACTTTATAAGCTAAAGTTATAGCCGTTTGAATTCTTTGTGCAATAGTTTCCAAACTAAAGAGGATTTGTTGTCGTGTTCAAGTTTGAGATGATTAAGGTGTCTTAACTACTGTGGTCATAAAGAGATGAACTTGGTCAGCAACAAAACTCATTCAGGCTAATGAGCCAACGCTGCTCAGTTGGTACCAAGGGCCTTAAAGTGTGACAAGAAAATATCCCCCACACTATTACACCTCTAACAGCTGCCTGAACTGCTGATACAAGCCAGAATGGATCCACACTTCCATGTTTTTTATGCGATTTTATGATCTCGAAGCAGAAATCGAGTCTCATCAGACCATTCTTCTGTTATTCTATTTTGGCTAGCTTGCGTAAATTATAGCCTCAGTTTCCTGTTCTTAGCTGACATGACTGGCACCCGATGTGGTTTTCTGCTGCTGCTGTAGCCCATCTGCTTCAATGCTTAGCATGTTGTGCATTCAGAGATGCTCTTCTGCATACTTTGATTGTAACAAGTGGTTATTTGAGTTACTGTTACCTTCCTAACAGTGAAAAGCCATTTGGTCATTATCCTCTGACTTCTAGCATCAACAAGGCATTTTTTTTACCAGCCCATCTGGCACCAACAACCATTTAAATCACCTTTCTTCCCCATGCTGATGCTCCGTTTCAGTAAATCATCTTGACCATGTTTACATGAATACGGGCAGTAAGTTGCAAACCATTTGATTGGCTGATAAAATTATTAGATTACTAGATTATTACAGATGTGCCCAATAAAGTGGCCAGCAAGTGTATTTAAAGTAAAGAAGAAGGCTGCTAGGACTTGGACTAACAGTGTTTTAATTTATGCAGTCCTTCCCTGTAGCAATGTTTTCTTCTGTGCCCATAAAATACACAAATGTTGTGTATAACAGGAAAGTATACACTGCTGACTGCTGGCTCTACAGTTCATTTATGTGCCTGGCATTTTACAGACACCCCCCCCCCATATGCACCCTCACACACACACACACACACACACACACACACACACACACACACACACACACACACACACACACACACACACACTCATAAACACACACATACACACAACCCCACCACCCCTATTCTTCCTTTCAAACACATATGCTCCACTGAATGGAAAATTAAATATTATCCAACAGTAAAAGTGGCCAGCAGAAGCCCTTTTTGGCACCGTGCTGCAGATGTGAGAGACA